TTTGTTTGTTTGATTGTTTGATTGTTTGATTGTTTGATTGACTGATTGATTGATTGATTGATTGATTGATTGATTGATTGATTGAAAAAAAACTGAAGCGTGTGTGTGTGTGTGTGTGTGTGTGTGTGTGTGTGTGTATGTGCCGGGGGGAGGGGAGGGAGGACCCCTCCCCCACCAATAATCAATCAATCAGTCAATCAATCAATCAATCAATCAATCAATCAATAAAAAAAACAATTAATCAATAAATATTTATTTTTGTTTTTATTTTTTTTATTTTTTTGTCACTCATCGAAAACCACCCCCCCAATTTTGTTTATTTTTATTTTTTTTTGTATAGAGTGGTAGTGGCCGACGTGCGCAGGCGGCGCTCGCGCGTGCCGTTTTTCAGTGCGCGCCCCCGTCTGGCCCGCTGCCGACCTCCTCGGCCGTGACCGAGGCGGCTGCGGCTGCGGCCGAGGGGGTCACATAACTCTCTGGTCATCCATCCCAGGACTTCCTCACCTGCTTTAACATCAAGAATGACTACTACCATGTCCCAAGTCACCCTGAATCTCAACCCTATCTTGCTTTCATCTAAGAACGCAGCGCCTATCATTTCAAAACCCTCTGCTTCAGCATATCATCAGTCTGCTGGATTTTCACAACCATCACGCAGAAAATCATGGCCGGATTTCGCCTTCATAACATCTTCATGGCTTTCTATATTGATGACTCTGCACCCCCTCGAATTGAGAATCCTCAATCTGTATTAAAAAAATATAATTCACGACCTCTTGTGCTGGGTTCCTCACCTTTCTCACCTTCTCGGACAACTATGGATATCAAGGGCAACCTCTTTCATCATCTTCACTGACGCTTACTCACACCAAATCGTCGCGACCGTGATCTACCCACCTCACGACACCCCAATCACACTCAAGCAATGATTCCCTGAAATATTTGTACCAACTTCTTCAACTCAAAAAGAGTTTTTCACAATCCGCAAAACCTTCTCCTTCCTCGCCTCCAACCATCCCCATCTACTCCTCTTTGCCTCCACAAAACTTCACTCAGACAGTAAGTCCGCCTCCACACTCGTCACACACATGCGTTCCACCAAGCCATCCTTCAATCTCTAACTCCATGAAATCTTTTATATCCTCATCCTTCACGACGCACTCCTCATTGTCCTCAATCTTGTCTAAATCCACATATCTCTCAATTCTGTAACAGACTTTATCTTC